CCATTAGTTCCCTTACCCACCCACTACAGGCAACTGCCTCTGGCAATGGGCATCTACTTTCTGATTAACCCAGCAAGCCTATCCCAGGTCAGAGTCCCCAAATTAGCCCCCAGGCTGTACTGGTCCACACCCCAACTATCACTGCTCTTGACCCCTAAGCTGTCCTGTTCAAGCAGGCCTCCACCACCACCCATCACCATAAAACTGACAAGGTTTTTTCCCACCAGGTGCTGTTCTCTGCCTCCATCCACCCCTAGACAGCCACAGCAATTTGATTACCAAATGAGCTTTCTTTCTACACACCCAGTGGTCTCCTTTTGGTTGTTTGACAATCATGTCCTGGAAATACTTGATTACCTTTGAGGTTCATTGTGTTGTTAATATAGAAAGCCATTCTTCTTTCATCCATGCATTATTGTAATGTTAAAATATTAAAATGTAAATATCCATTTACATTTTATTCATGCTCATCTCTCCTAATGAGAAAACTCATGCCATTTTATTGACGCCATGAGGACATGAGGACCTGTACCTGTGTCTCTTGAGTAGCAGAAATCACGATGGATTTTATGGTGGATTGTATGGGGGGGTTGGTGTGATGTGTGTGTGTGTGGGGGGGTGTATGGTATGTTGTGTAGGGAATGTGGTGTGTGTGTGGGGGGGTGTATATGTGTGTCCTGTGTCCTCTAAGGATATTTGTCACTCTTACCAATGTGGAAGTTAATGCAATGACAAGAATGATTAGTGTTTCAATGCTTGCTAATGCCACCAATTTCTTTTGTTTAATGAGTCGGTCTAGGGAGGTTCCACTGTGTGGGGGCCTATACTAGGTATTGGGGATATAGGAATGAGGAAAAGTACACAGCCTGCGGTGTTCAATGCACACTGAATAAATGGAATATGCAGGTATACATAGAAGTAGTGCCCAAAGAAATACAGAAGAAATGCAAATAATCTGTTCAAGGACTTGCTAACCAGATGATTTATTATCTATTTTAGTAGATTAAGCTTCCTAAGGAGACAGCTTTCCTAATTAATCTGTCATCACTTACAAATGAAAAAAAAAAAGAATTTCATGTCTATAGGATAACAGTGAAACATAAAATACTGCCAATTGTGGGCTCTTTTTTTTTTTTTTTTTCACATTTTAGTGATACAAATGAACTGGGGGATAATTTGCTTTTTTAGACTATCAGCCTAAAATCAACCCTGTATCATGAGCTAAACTGAAATCAATAAATTGTTACATGTAGATATCTGCTGCAATGAATCCTGTGTTTGTTTGGTTTCCAATTTGGAAAAAAAAATTTTTTTGCTTCCAAATAAAAGTACATCTGCTATATGCTAGTGGTAAATAATTTGCTTAAGCATTTTGTGTGTGAATTTTGTGATCTGTAAAATGAACAGGCTGTTGGAATTAATACATGCTCAGTGCTTAAACAACATTAAGACCATCAGTAAGTGCCTTTCAAGGGTCCCCCTGCCCTTACTGTTTTTTCTGCTGTTAGGAGTATTTTCATATCATTAATGAGAACTACAGGAGTTACTAAAATACCCTTTGATGATTTTGTTTCTTGGACAACATTGCAGATGCTTTTGCATTACCACAAAGCTGCAGAGAATTTTACAGTCATTACTCCCTGGTCTGTTTGTCAGAAGTATTCATTACCTGAAAGTAGTATCTAAAGTATTATGGAAAATGAATTGTCCTTTGAAAAAATGAAAATAAAAAATAAAGGGTCTGTGGATATAAGCATGTTTGTACCAAACTCGGCATGGTGTAGTTTTTATTTGATCATTGTATAACTGAAGAGGAAAACTGAAATGAGCATGCTCTATACATCAATTGTAATAAAATACAGGGTGTGCCAATGAATTTGAGTAGAAGTTAATTTCATATTTTAGCGTTAAGTCTACTTATGTATAGGTGTGGATGTGACTAAGATAATGTGTAAATGTAAACATGTCTAGGTTGGAGACTGTGCTCACTGCAAATTTTCATACTATCTTCCAACTTGAATTCTAAGAACTACGTAGATTCTCCTTTCAGAGTTGTTAACCCCCTGCCACCTCTCCCAACACAATGCCTCCAAGCCTCAGGTGTGGTCTACAAAATGCCGGAGAAATACTGAGTTGGGGCCTCTCCCTACCTGCCTGACCCCAACCCTCCCATCTCGATGCTGGCTTGCTTGCTCCCTCCTTGGATTTTATCAAAAGTTACCACACAGACCTGCCATGTGAATAGCGCTTCCATGTGCATTGCACTGAGGTTGCCAGCACTTGCTTATGAGTGCTCCTTGGAAATGCCCTTTGTTAATCGTGTTCTGGAGTTCAGCATCCTGAAGATGCCTGTGTGGCAGGTGTGCTTCTCCTCACGGTAATCCGAGCACATTTTAGAACACCTTCGTTGGGGTATAGCCCTTGCACTGTGCATTTTACCTACTTGAAACTTAGTTATTTTTAGTCTATTCCCAGAGTTGTGTGATCATCATCACATTCTGGCTTCTCTTTAACCATTGTACTGCTAGCCACACCCCACCCCTGTACTGGGCCATCACTAACCTCAGAATCACAGTGTCAGTCCTTTTGTGTCGGACTTTCCTTACTTAGCATATTGTCTCAAGGTTCCTCTGTTTTGAATCCTATATCATCAGAGTAACATTTCATTATATAAATACAACATCATTTAATTAATTGATTGATTAATAACTTGGTTTTTTGAAACAGAATCTTACATTGTGACCCAGACTGGCTCACAGTAGTCCTCACACAGTGCTAGACCTGAGGCATAAGACACCCTGCCCTGCTCTACCTCATTTGTTGTTTGTTTTGGGGGCCAAGGTTGCTTTATATAGCCCTGGCTATCTAGACCAGGCTGGCCTTAAACTTAACAGAGATCCATCTGCCTCTGCCTCTGCCTCTCCTGAACTGGGATGGAAAGTGACCACCATTCATCACTGCTCTACCTCATCTTATTTGTCCATCAGCTTGGACATTTGGATTGTTTCTATTTGGGAACTAGCATAAATAATACTGCTATGAACTTCCACATATAAATTATTATTTTTTTCATTTCTATGAGATGTACAGGTAGTGAAGGATTACCGGGCCATATGTTACCTTTTACGTCTTAACATTTTGAGCAACTTCCAGACTCTTTCCCATACAGTGGCATAATTTTGCTTTCCTGCCAACAACTTAGGAGATTCCACATTCTCAACATCCTCACTAAATTTTGTTCTTAACTGTTTGTAAATTGTTGATATCAATATTATAGCTATATTAATGGTTGTGAATTGGCATATCATTTTGATATTATCTGGCATTCCCCAAATCATTAATGTTGTTAAGCAAGTTTTCATGTGTTCATTGGTAATTTCTTTGGAGAAATTTCTATTCAGATATGTAGCTACTTTTAAATTGAAATTTTATGTTTTCATTATTGACTTATGTTTTCATTATTGTCTTTATGTATTCTAGACATAAATCACTTCAGGAAAATAATTTGATATTATTTTCTACCATCCTTTAGAGTATTGTTCCACTGTATTAGTAATGTCTTTTGATGTGCAAAAAGTTGTCACTTTTAAAATATAAGTCACAAAGTTTTACTTCTAATAAGACTACAGTTGAGTTCTTATGTTCTTATGTGTGGCTTTTTAATTTGCTTCTACTTTGTATGTGTAGTCTCTCACCAAGTTTCAAAACTTTCTCTGAGATAACATATATAAATAATAATTTTATATTGTATTCTAATAATTGATGTTCTGATATTAAACTATGTTTGCATTTGTTTGGTAAATCCTATGTGATTATGGTATATAATTACTTTTATATGTTATTTGGTTTGCAAGCTTTTTGTTAAGAATTTGTGTGTGTGTGTATTCCTAGGGGTTTGGGTTTGTAGCTTCCTTATAATATGGCAATTCTGAACTAGAAAAGTTTACCCTTTTATCTGTTCAAAAGTTTGTGAGTGACTGATTTTAATTTTTCTTTAACTATTTCATTTTTCTTTAACATAACCAATGAAAGCATCTTAGGCTGGCCGTGTGTACATGAAGGAGCATGTGTGTGAAGATGTGTGTGTATTTAAAGTCTTAATCACTTTATTTCTTATAAATTAGTTCAATTCCTTGTATATGTGCCCTGTTGAGCTAGTTTCTGTAGTTTGTGTCATTCCAGGATTTATCTATTTCACCAGGGTTCTCTAGCTTTTGCCCGTACATTTTGTTTGTCACTCCTACTTCAGTCTGAGAATTTTATCTTTGTTCTTGTTTGTTTTGGGGGTAGTTAGTTTAGCTATTTCTCAATATGTGTTTTAGCTTTTTATGTGCCTGACTTTAATTTGATATTCTCTATTGTTTTACTGCATTCTATTTCATTAATTTCTGCTTTTATCATTTCATTTCTTCTGCTTTCAATTTAGTTTTCTCTTTTCACACACCATCTGAAGAGGGGAAGTTAGGGTATTGGTTTTATATTGTAAGTCTAATATGTACATAAATGTTGATAATTTCACTACAAGCAGCTGCTTTTCTACATCCCCTAAATTTGGATGTGTTTATCTTCAGTCATCTCATCAAAAGCACATTGAAGGAGGTTTACCTCCTCCTCCCCCTGTTTAGGAATGAGGAATAATGGGAACAGAATGCTGGAAAGTGCTCTATAACTTGGCCCTGAAAGTATTTTCTGATTTTCCTTTGAATTTTCATTTGACCATTAGTTATTTATGCAGGTGTTACTGAATTTCCAAATATTTGTGAATTTCTGGAATGTGTTTGTCATTAACTTCTCATCCATAGCATACTGTCTGCTATTTCAGTTTTTGCATTTATTCTATGACCTAACACATCTTATCTGTTTGGGGATGAGCTCTGAGGAAAACAGATACTCTTCTTTTTGAGTGAAATTCCCTGTAGTTTTCTCATTTGGCTCACAGTGTTGTACATTTGGCATTTTGTGTTTTGTTTATAATGTCACTTAATTTTTTTTTTTTCCAGTTGATGAGTTAATCAGTCCTAAAGACATTGACCCTGTCCAGCGCTTTGTCCCACTCCAGAACCAACGTAATGTGAGCATGCGGTACTCCAATCAGGTAAAGAAATGTTTTACTTCTTAATTTAGATTTATCCAAAGCCATGTACCTGTCCATTCAAGGGGGAACTTTATCTGAAATGTGTTTTCTTGCTCATCAAGGTGATTCCAGATGTCATGGATGTGGGGCATGTGTATGCAGGAGGACAGACAAGATGCTATGAAAGGGAATGGAGGGTGTGGAAGAGGGAGGGCCCTGTGTCTCCCTGACAGGACCTTGTAACTGGAGAGAGTTGCTCTTAGCATATAGCGCCATGTTCTGGGAAGGAATGGTTTTTAAATTCTTATGTTTACCAGCTATGGATTTCGACTGTGTTGTGTCAACACTCTCTAAAGTGTTTGCGGTATCAGCAAGATTGATGTTGACTTGAGCAAACCCTCAACTATTAAATGATACCAGTAATGAGGACTGTTAAAATGAAAATGTTGTAGATTGTGGAAACTGCCTGAGGAGAAAGGAAATGAACCTGAGTGTGTGCCTGGGTTTCCAAGCAGTTAGCATGTATTTAATAAAAGTGGCATCAGCACTTGCAGTTGATATGCTTACAGATCCAAAACCTTATTTTTGGAAATGCATACATGGATGTGTGTACACACACAAAATGAATGAATGGGTGAATGTATGTTAAGTTTTTTAAAAAGAATATAAAAGCTTTGTGTTAATATGAAATAAGAAAATTTCACTGGCCAATTTTCCTCTTCAAGGAAAGGAATTGGCCTTTTTCTTAGGCCAGTGTGTCAAGTCAGTGTACAGCCTGTATCTTGTGAGGTTTTCAGAGTTACTTCAGTGTAAGATGAGGAGTCTGTCTAACTCTATATTTATTATCCAGCACCAGGACCCTATTTTCAGATTGTATGTATATTCAGACTGTCATTTACACAGTATTTCATGTGCTTGACATAGTTCTCTAAGGTGATAATATAGTAAGCCTCTTCTTAGATTGAGGCATAGAAGGAGACAGAACTACAAAAGCATGTTATAGGCACATGGCTAGTAAAATTGCTTACTTTTTTTTCATGTTTGGCATATGTGAGGCAGTTTATACACTATCTGAATTACAGAACACAATATAGATGCAGTTCTTTCTCTCCTACTCAGGGCACAGAACAGTAAGAATGAACTGTAGAGAGAGTTCACTGCTAACTATATTGGAATTATTTTCTAATATTGCTAGAGGGCTATGCATGGCAAGCCTTCTAGATGCAGCAACTTCTTAGCTAAGAGAAGTTCTCTGGGGTACAGACTAAGGTTTCTCTCCTGTAGCATGAGCAGAGTGTGTTTGTGTAGCACAAAACCTAGTTTCTGAGAGGCAGGATGAGGATCCCCAACAGAGACTGCTGGGAACTAGGATTGCACTCTCTATTGGCAGCCTGCCTATAAAATAAGGGCCTCTCCTGCTAACATTGCAGGGGCTGGAAACATGAGATATAGGGGTCAGAAATACCACTGAATATGCTTCCCTCTCTACGGTTGAAATGTTTGTTTTGTGTTGGGTTGTGACTGGCCATGTTGAAATCCGTGAGTAAAGGGGTCTCTTGGGATTGACCAAGTTCTTTAAGCTCCACCAGATGTTGCAAAAGCAAATAGAGAATAGTGAAATACAGATGATGCCTAAAAGGAAAAACCTACCATCAAAGGAAAGTGTGTCAGGCCATCTCAAGTCTACCTCTGGCTTTCACACTGGAGGCCACAGGACTTGGAAACTTACTAGGCACACAGGTAGAGTTCAGCACAGGGAAAGCATGCCAGATAAGACCACTAAAGGGAAAGGTGCTTTGGGCAAGTACTGTGGAAATGAAGTTGAGCCTCTGCCCGTGGAGTTACAGAGGTGTGCTGAGTGTCCCAGCAGTGTGTAACAGTGCCACACAGCAAGGATGTGCAAGTATGCTTGCCCATGACTCCTATATGGTGTCAGTCAGATGCACATGCACTGGTTGTTCTCTCCGGGAAAAACCTGGTGTTAAGTATAAATCACAGACTATTTGAGCAAACCAGTGCACTGTAAGACAAGGCTCCAGTGAAGGTAAACACTCTTCCCCTGTGAGTCATTTACAGTCTCACAAATATTTTTCACTTCCTTAGAATTTTTCATGAATAATGACATTTGATTAAAATTAGAATTTTAATTATTTGTCATAGAGTATGTTCTTACTATACTATGTTAAGTATTCCTTACCTTTTTTCCAAGTCTTGTGTTGACTTCTTTCACTCATACTATGATTTTCTACTATTTTTGACATAGTTTCCTTGATACTTATTTAATTGTTATTGTCAAATAAGTGTAGTCAAAATTTTAGCTATTAATTAAATAAAAAATTAACCCTTTAACTTGAAAGACATAAAAAGCCACAGGAAATAATAGAGAAGATTCCTATGAATGCTTCCTCAACCCTCTCAGAAGAAATTACAGAGAACTCAGAGTTCCCAGGAACCTACCCTCAGTCTCCTGCCGAGTGTGCAGCCTGGGCATTGTTATTAACAGTATGAAAACCACAAAACCAACATTGCTGCCCACTCTCCTTTTACCTGTTGCTCTCGCACATCTACGGCATTACATGTAATTCAATGTCACTGCATAGTCACCATGTCACCACAAAGATGTCTGTCTTAGAACCATGTTTGCTTCTTTTGCTACAGTACTAGCTCCTGGAAAGCACCAATATGTTCTCATTTATGATTTGTAACTTTTTCACTTCAAGAATGTTAAATAATTGAATATAGCTAGCATTTTAAGACTGTCTTTTCTTACTAAGTATATAGCTTAACACTTCTGTGAAGCCCTAACTAATCATTCTGTATCAATTAAAAAATCATGCATCAGATATTGGGGTAAGAAAGATCAGAGAGAAACAGGGGAGCTGCCACCAGTGACTTCTGCCCTCTGCCGTTCCTTCCTCTCTCAGTACCACCTTATTACTTCCTGCCTCCTATCTGTATTCAGTCCTCCACACTTCTATGGTTGATTTTGGTCAGCTCGTGGCTAGCTCTGCCCTCTGACTCCAAGCAAGCTTTATCACACAACACTTCTGTAATATGACTCAGTTGTTAAATGTATCTGTGGTTTACTCCTTTTACTTCTGAGTTGTACTCCATGGGATGTCTATACCATAGTTTATTTTACCATTGCCATGTAAAGGACATGCTGTTGGGTATGTGAATATTTAACTATTTTCCCTCTTGTCATTGAATAAGTCCAACTGTTATTTCTATTCAACTGCAAATCTGACTAAAGAAGTTCATTAAATTGAAAAACAATGTGCTGTGCCTTCCTGACTATCTACCTTCTCGTTGTTGTTTCCTTCTGGTGTTATTTTCTGTTTCAAAACTTCTTTACATTATCAATGGATAAGTCTTCCAGCCACCAGTGTCATAGTTTTCATTTGTTGCTTTCAGTCCTGAAGTGTAGGCTTTATTTGTTTATTTTAGTATAGGGTTCCTGGTTGATGCCTTCCTTAGTTTCAGATGAGAAATTGTATCAGTTCAAATTTATGTGTACCCTTGACTATGTGTTAAGTCCCGTTATGTGAGTAGGCCCAGCTGGTTGGTGAATCTACCTTCTGTGTGGCTGTCTACTTCATGGGGCAGGGTTTGGATAGATTTGCCACTCTCTGAAGCCACTGTAGGTAGGTTGAACTACCCTCAGATATCAAGTTGTACAGAATTGTGGGTAGCCAACTGGTGTCTCAGTTGAGAATCTGTGACTAGACTCTGCATGGTGGTCTCTGTTGTGCTCCCATGCCCTATAGTGAGAAAGAATGTTTCCTTTTGTTGCCTTAGCTGTGTTTGTCTCCTGCTTTAGGCTACCAACCTCTCAAGACCCAGACTAGTGAGTGCAGGGCCTCAGAGTCCCACTTTGCTGCCTGTATGGAAACTCTGAGATGTCTGGGAAGTCCAGCCTGCTGTCTTACCTGTTTTCTGAGTCTTTTAGAACCAATTCTCTAGGATGCATTTTTCCTCCTTCCAGGATTTTTTTTTAAGTGGATAGTTTATAAGTCTTCTAATAAATAAAGATGGGTTTTGTAATCTGTGACAGTTCTTGAAAATTATTTTTAAAACACTAATAATATCATTTTAAGTATTTTTGTAACAGCTAAACATATAATTTATACTTCATATAATTCACTAATTTAAAGTGTGTAATTCAGTAGTTTTTACACTGCATTTGCTAAAATCAGTCTTGCTTTTTTATTGATCTAAAAAGAAACCCTGTACTTTTAGTCATTGTCCTCTCTCAGTATTCCCCCATCTGCCCTCAACATTTTTTTCTCAGTATAACTTTTTTAAGATTTCTGCCTGTGACAGCACTTCATTCCTTTTATGATAGAACAATATACCATTTTAGATATATGGTATATTTGGTTTATGAACATGTGAGTTGTTTCTAAGCTTTGGCCATTATGAACAATCCTGCTCCCAACCTCCAAATACAGTTATTGTGCTACATGTTTCTTTATTTTTCTTGGATATATCTAAGAAGAAATTGCTGGGTCATATGCTAACCTCCAGTTAAACTCTTGGGGGAATTGCCAGACTTTCTTCCATGTGACTATACTAGCTTGCATTTCTTCCATTGCACAAGGGTTTCCATCTTCTGCATTCATACTAATACTTATTTCCTGGACTTTAAGGTAGTGGGGATGGTGAAGTTGTATCTAACTGTGTTTGATTCGTATTCCCCTAGTTACAAAACTTAATCATATTTTCATATGTTTTCTGGCAGTTGAGTTACAAAAATTCTTTGTATCTTAGATGATTTCTTTATAGGACTGCAAACATTTCCTCTACTACTAAACTATCATTCCACCTTGTTGTCGTTCAAAGCACAGAAATTTTAAATTCTGATAAAGCCTAGTTTTCCTTCGATTACTTTTGCTTTTACTGTCTAAAAGCCATTGCCTAACCTAAAATTATAAGCTTTTCTTTTCTTCTAGGAAGTCTGCAGTATTTTCCCTTAAATTTAGGTGTGTTGTCCATTTTTAGTTAATTTTTATGTCTGATAG